ATCTTGTGTTTTTAATGGCATTGTGTTTTCTTGGTGTGTAATTTCTTTTTTTGAAAGATTTTATTTATTTATTTGACATACACAGAGAGAGTGCATGTGCACTAGCAGGGGGCATGGCAGGCAGAGGGAGAGGGAGAAGAAGGCTCCCAGCTGAACAGAGACACCCCCCTCCAACGCGGGGCTCAGTCCTAGGACCCTGGGATCATGACTTGAGCCAAAGGCAGCTGCTTAACCGACTGAGCCACCTAGGTGCTCTTCTTGGTGTGTAATTCCTTCTGCCCTTCCTGTGCTATAGCATTTCAGTGCTTTAGTTCTCATGTTTTCTGTGTACACCTGCCATTTAAAAAATTATTTTCTCAAGGTAATGCCGCACAAATATTCCTTGTCCATTTTCAAAGCATTTAAAAGGATTCAACATTTAAGTTGTAAGTTAAATCAATAAACTGATGAAAATGATAATCAGCAATTACTAACTTTCATTAAGAAATCAAGTAAAGACGATTGTTCATTTACTAAGGCTCTGGTTTACTTGTTTCCGTAAAAGAGTACACTATACTCTCCTCAAAGAATTCATAAGATGAAAATTTTCTACTGTCCTCATATGGGCAAATTGTGTTCATTTTACTTCACAGGCTATCCATTTTCAGCAATGCCTTAATTTATCTCTAGGTATAGAGTTAAAATCCAGCTCTATACTAAGGTAAGAAGAAATGACATAGCTAACTAAAAGACAAGTTATTTTATATGCAGACTTATATTTATCTCATTTATTCTTTTTCTAAAAGTAATCATCCCATACTCAACAAATATTTGCAGTTGTTTTCTTCAAGAAGTATAAAAAAGACTCCCTTGTGCCACTCAAATTTACAGAATAGACAAAATGACATAACACAGACTCTTAACTATAGAGAACAAACATGGTTAACAGAGGGAGAAGTGGGAGGAGGGATGGGTGAAATAGGTGATGGGGATTAAGAGCACACTTATCATGATGAGCACTGAGTAATGTATAGCATTGCTGAATCACTATATTGTACACCTGAAACTAATATAACACTGTATATTAACTATCCTGGAATTAATTTTTTTAAATGGCATAATATCAAAGAGGAAGGGTAAATAGAGAAACAATTGTCCACTTTACCCATAATGCACATACCTAGTTGTCTTAAGCATTACTCACATAGATTGCAGTCTGGCCCCTTAGCCTCTCCATCAAGTTTTTATTGAGTAATTTCTATGAGCTTAGTACTGTTCTAGGCTCTGTAGGTACAAGAGATACATAAAACATAAACATGGGTCCTGCCCACAAGGAGCTTACAATATGGTTGAGAATTTTGTTAAAGTATAAAAGCTCTTAAAAATACATTTTGTACAAATTATTTTTATATAAAAAGGCACTTCAGATAATAGAAAAAATAAAGCCCTAGAACCTGAATGAAATGGAAAAACACTTTTACCCATGGATGAGCTTAGAGATATTTTTAATTAACAAAATATTCAGTAAAAGCCTGGATGAATGAAAAATATGAGCACAAATATTTTTAAGACAGCAATTAAACATTGAAGTATTCATCATCATTAAAAGTATATCAAGCTAGGTATATCTTATACAGATCCTTAAGGTACCTGAATAATTATCTTAGCAATAAGTTTCTTTTGAGTGTGCTTCCAACTACTGAAGATGTTGAAAAAAATTTTTTCTCTTAATAGTTTATATGGCCCCTTTATAACCTGGTTTTATTATTTAATTTTTAAAAGTCATTCTTGTAGACAGTAAAAATGTGAAGTAATTCAACTCTGTTTGAATTTTCATATATTTCATGGACCAAAATCCACTTATAATTGTAAGACACCTTTACACATTTGTATATAAAACATAACGACTCTAGTTTTCTCCTCCCTCCTTGGGAGAATTTGGATAAATGTAGCTTCTCACAGAAGCCTAATCTTCCAAACCTAATATTCCCTGTATGCCATTCCCTAATATGCCATTCCTCTTCGCAATACCCTCTCCTGAGAGCAGCATAGTTGGGTGTTTATTTTTGTTTGTTTATTTGTTTGTTTGTTTCACACTGGCTTGTGGTGGTGCTGTAGGAAATCTGCAATCAGATGGAGGTGGGAGTAGGCAGGAATTCGTTCTTCCAACACAAAAGTCACAGGTCTAAAATTACACAGAATATATTATATGTGGTCAAGAACTAGGTCTGTACAACTCAGCTGCAAAGCATATTAATATCATGGATTTGTTTTGCATACATATTCCACAGAGCTCTACAGTAGGTACGTATAACTCTGGCAGAAATTCATTTTATTTTGAGGGCTAGTTCTATTCTCAGTGTAACCTCATTACCTAATTATGAGAATCAATGTTTATGGAAGATAATTTAAAAAATGAAGAGGAAAGCACTTGTTAAAAATCAGTGTGTTGCTGAATCATGACCCCGAATATTTGAGAACATATGTTACAGAACTTACTATTTTGGGTAAATTTAATGAAAGGGATACATTTCTGTGGATTAAAAATTAAAGCTTCAAAAGTATTTTATACATACATATATGATCTTTCCATCAGATTTCAAACTAATTGGACAAAGATCATTCCTAATTGTGTGAGAAATATCTTTACCAAATAGTCATTATTTTTCTAACTTTTCTAATCATTTTATTACCTTATGACTTTCATCTATAGAGTTTTAATAAACTTTATTATGTTAAACCACAAGTGACTATTCTGCCTGGATTAGCATTTTTATTTTTTCTTAAAGATTTTATTAATTTATTTGACAGAGAGAGAGAGACAGTGAGAGAGGGAACACAAGCAGGGGGAGTGCGAGAGGGAGAAGCAGGCTTCCCGTGGAGCAGGGAGCCCGATGCGGATCTTGATGCGGGGCTCCATCCCAGGACCCTGGGATCATGACCTGAGCCGAAGGTAGCCGCTTAACGACTGAGCCACCCAGGTGCCCCTGGATTAGCATTTTTAAATCAGGAAAGTTTAACATAAAATTTCCCAAGTTAAATCGCAACATGGAAATGAAAGGCTTTCTATCACAGTCATTTAAATTTGCAACTGCCAATATTGTACATAAATGTTACTTTTGTTGAGAATTTACCAGATAAGGAGCATCTTTCTTGGTGTCAAATACTGCACTAGTGCTAAGAGACCTATGAAGAAAATATAAGAAAGGGGTCCTGTCTACCATGAAATAGAATTTTTGTTAAGGGAAAAAGACATACATAATGAAAATATTTGAAGAATAATACAATAATCATCAAAATGAGCACTGTGTAACTTCAGAGTAGCATAGAGTTAAGAAGAGAAAAAAGATACTTTAATTGTTCAAAACCCAAGGACAAGGTCAAATTTGCACATGTGGGAGATGTGTAGGTTTTACATGGGGAAAAATAATCATGAGGTATTATAAGCAAGAACAGCATCAAGAGATTTGAAGTTGATTCTGTCCATGACATGTAAGCCTACACAATCAGGAAGCCAGTTTGTAGTTGAAATTGAGAACTCATATTATATAGCTGGAGATAAGTCTGGATAAAGAATTTATTGCAGTTAGTACTTACTGAGTATCTACTGTGTTAGACTCACTTTACATACATTATCACAATAACCCCAGAGGTAAGTATTATTATCTTTAATTTATAGATTAATTCATTGAGATTCAATGCAATTAATTAAATTTCTCAAGGTCATGGAGCTAGTGAGTGGCACAGCCAGATTTAAATCCAAGTTTCATTCCAAAACCCATGCTTCTATTACTACATCACATTGTCTTATGAATGGAATATTATTGAAACAGATCTCACATCCCCACTGTACTATAGAAAGAAAATAAACCTGGAATCAAAGAACTTACACTGGATCTAAATTCTTACTTATATTAGCCATGTGACATTGGGCAAGCCCTCTGTAGCCTTGGGCCTCTTCTGTAAAAATAAAATAAAACAATATATGACAACTAGACAACCACATAGATGGGTGATGGGCAGATAGCAGTAACAGAAGCATGGGCATTCTTATGATTGCTGGCAAATTCTACTTGCTCAATAAAATTCATTGAATTTAAACCTGAATAAAGGGATTGTGTACAGCATCATCTTCGTGTGAGTTACATAAAGCCATTTAAGATACAAGTTTGAATGAAAATAATTGTGGTTTCCAGCTAACCCGTAACTGATTCAACTATTTAAAGGAATGGCTCACTCTTTTGGTTTAATCTAGTTGACGGGGAGGACAGTGGAGTCACAGTATAGGCTCCTATGGCAAAACTACTGATACTATGTTATCATGTCTCCCTAAGATGTCCTTGTAGGTGACAGCATGGCCCTTAGTACAGTGCCTAAAGAAGGACACTCAATAAATATGTGTTGAATTAAGCGAATGAGGAGAGGAACATGAAGGAGGAAGGTGCAGAGTTGGGGAAGAAAGGCAAGAGAAAGAAAGATTGGTTGAATTTACAAACAGGTAAGGACATTAGCTGAAAGACATCCAATGACAAAAGTATTTGTTAAAAGTTCTCTTAGAATTGCTCTTTTCAATTCAGATAAAATAGATTCCTTTATTTCTCAAAAAGTAACAAAATGTGATGTTGAATAACTATGTCACTTACTAACTTTACCTTTTTTATGCCACCTGGGAAGAAATTTTAAGAAATCCTGAACAGATAGTGGTAAGTCAGAAGGCTGTGCCTGGATTTGTTATTGCTCTAACACAACAGTTAATCCTGTAGCCTCAGTATTGTTTCCTGTGACATTTCAGGAAAGCCCTTAGCTGCATCCTCTACTTTCAGTCTTCAAAGACAAATAACACTTACATTGATTGCTGGGTTACACAGTGACACATAACCAGAATACAGACCTAAAGATGTTTAGTCCCAAGCTTAGCCCAGAGGGACACGGTATCTCCAATACATTCATCACATATCTGGCGTAAATATCTTTTGTCACGATGCCCTCTTGCCTCTATCCAGCACCCTCTTCTATCCCATTAAAGTTTATGTCCCATTAATTGAATTCTTTCTCTCACAATGTTGACTTTTCACTGTTGAAAGCGTATACTGATTTTTTCAGACTCATTATAAAATCAAAACTACCATAAAATGCAAAGATGTCCACACTGGTTGAGATTCAGGCAAAGGTTTGAAGTTGGGGAAAAACTCCTAGAAAATGGGTTTTTCTTTTTCTCACTTTTGCACCAATCATTATCTGTGCAATCACCCCCAGCTTCTTAAAAATAGCCTCAAAACCCAGTCCCAGAAGCCAATTTAACACTCAAAGGCACAAATTATGATCATAAACCTGGTTTCAGTGGGTATTACTGGCAAGAAAAAACATTAAATTTTTTAAAAAGATGAAAATGAAGAAACAATCCAAATCAAACATAAATTCTCCTTCTCAGATGGGAAGAAACACACAAACTCAGGGAAGCAGGAATTTCAATAAAAAGTCAGCTCCGTTCTTTCATTATCTGTTAGAATAGAGAGAGAAAGATGTAATAAGCACGGGTAGGGATACTTTTTTTGTATGGTATGAGGAGAAGGTGTAAGTGAGAAATACGTATGTCTTAGCAAAACATTCTTGTTTGAAGTAATTACACGTATGTTTTGTAAATAAAAGCAGTTTTAATAACTCTGGGATTTTGGATCACTTAAGCTTCTGGATTATTTAATTATGCTAAGTATATTTTTTTATGAGCAATTTTTCTGGTTTCCAAATTTGTAGTCCAGTAGAATAATCAAATCATGACGCTGTATCAGTTGTAGACACGTTGAGCGGTCAAATAATCTTGCCATAAAAACAAGCCCCAAATCAGTGTATAACTATACCCTAGAAGGGATAAAAGGAAGAAAGCAAATTGAAATAACTATGAAATACAATTTTTCTCCTATCAAACCAATGGTGTGTGTGTGTTTTAAAATAATATACAGTGCTGGTTAGGATGAAGCAAAGCAGAAATTCTACAACATTGCTGATGAAATTTCAAATCTCTCTAGTTTCCTGGAAAGCAGTCACACTATATGCATCTTTAAAGAATATTAAAAATTTACATGCTATTTATTTCCTAAAGTAAACTTTTGATAAAAAACAATCACAAATATTTTTAAATTGCATTTCAGTCTTTAGGTAATGATATATTTCCATTTGTTGTGGTGCCAAATTTGAACACAGATTATGATTAGTAAACTACAAAGTATTCTTTTAATAGACTTGTGTAGGTATTAAAATTACTTTTTAAAGAATTTATAAATAGTCTGGGAAATGTTTCTTTTATGTTAAATTAGGTAAAAACAAGATACGATATGCACATATAATATTATCCTAAGTATGTAAAACAAAATCAAGGAAAGTGCAGGGGGAAAGGATGAAAAGGAATTTACTAAAATGATGGTGAGATTTTCTTGAGTAGTGGAAGTAAAGTTTAAGAAGCTGTTTTTCTTTCTAATTTTCCTTATTTTGCAAAGTTTCTATAGAGAGCCTGGCTTATTTTCATAATGAAGGGAAAGGACAATAGAATTTACTTTAAAAATTAAAAACGAAATTAGAATGAGCCCGCCAATAAAGAAATGGGAACTGGGTATCTCCCTTCTTTTCCTTTCATTTGTTTTCCAAGGAAATCTGTGTTTACAGAAAAAAAAAAAGTTCCCGGAATAGGTAGATTACATGCAGATATTTAAGAGAAGGATGTAGGACCATTAAGGTGAGTTGAGTAAAAATTTTATTGGCCCCGGGACTTGAGCTATGTTCCAGAATCACCCAGCTTATTGGTATCCTTTAGGCATTGTTGCATGCTACATCTCTATTGAAAAACACATTTTGATCTTCCCCTGAGAGACAGAAGTGATTATCTTTTGGTTACTTCAGTTATGGGAGAACAAATGGCCAAAGACATTGAGCTGCATAAATGTCCACATCCGTCTTAACAACTTACATGGAGTAGTGGAGTCATTGTACCCAGCCTCACCCAGGGAATGAAGTAAAATGAACATGCTGTCTGTCCATTACAATGAAGAGTTCAACTTATTGAAAAGCCAAGTATGCTATGTTTGAAAAAAAATAATTAAAACTTTTCACCTTCTTTCATTAAAACAAAAAAGATCACACAGTAGAGTAATACCCAGATGACTATTTAACCCTACAGTCAATAACAGAAATATTGAAGTAAGGTGTTTGGGGGAGGAAGCTAATGTTTGAAATTTAATATGACCAACTATGCATCGTATTTGGCATCATGTTCTGCTTTCTAGAGTGTCCCTTCATTGAAGTACAAGTTTTCTACAAAGCAGGTCTAGTCAAAGGTCAAGCAAGAGTGTACTGACCATGTGCGAAGTACACTGAGCTCTGATGTCAAATCAAAACAGGGTAGCTTAGCCTTAAAATCCTCCTGGACACTGTTCTTCGTATGAAAAATCAGTGACATGCAGGATCTTTTACTGCATGAGACTTGACCGGTCACAAGATCAGCCTGGAGCCAGTCTGAGAATTTTAGTTGGAGGAAATCTAAGTGAAGTTGTAAAAACAACTCCTCGAAGGAATCTAGTCCTCCTTAATCAGATGTTGTGTGCTCAATTGGCACTTTGGTTCTTAGAAATATTCTGTCCTTGTCGCATGAAGGCAGATCAGAGCAAAGATGGGGAAAGGCTATGTTGTAAATCTAGACAGCTTCTAAATCTCACCTTTCCAACTGGTCACTCCACATCAAGGTTGAGGAGCACTGGTGGGGTAAGGAGGTGGAGCTGGATGCATAGTTGTTTGTGTGGTGCCTGATCTGTGAACAGACAGAGGGTTTCAGTGGACAGAATTATTGATGATGACTCCTTTTGTCAGATGACTCTTCCTTCAACATTCTTAAAGAAAAGCAGAACGAAAACTCTATACATCAACTTGCATTGGCCATAGCCAACTAAATAAAGATATTTTAGATCTTATCTTCCCAAGACTATCTCATTTCTGCCTCCAACCTTTGACACACCCTCTCTTTTCTCTTACAATCTCACACCAGATATTACACAAGGGTAGAGACCATGCCTAGTATGACTTCTAAATCCCTAGAGCAGTTATCACAGCACTTGTTAAATACTGAATAAAAACTCACTGGCTTCAAATGATTGGTGTAGGTAAATCCAATTCTACCACCTTCTAGCTTTCAGTGACTTTCTGTTGCTCTTAGGATAAAGACCAGAATTCTTAACAAGACCTCAAAGGTCTTATTTGATCTAGCCTCTGCTACAACTCCAGCTTTGTTTGCTCAGACTGCACTAGCCATCTATGAATATCATGAACAGTGTCATCCTTCTTCCTACTGCAGGGCCTTTGTACTTGAAGCTTCCGCTGTCTACAGTATCCCTCCAATTCCCTCACCAGCTGGCTGACTCCCACTTGTCCTTCAGACCTCAACTTGGAATATCACTTCTTCAGAGAATACCCTGTTGACTAGGACTGGTCCCCCACTATGTGATACCCACTATTTTCTTTTCAGGAGTTCATTGTAGTTTGGAAACAAAGTTATTTTTGTGATTATTTGTTTAGCATTTGTTGCTATCTCTAGACACAAGTTTCATGAGCACAGGGGCCTTGCCTAGTTTTGCCCACCATTGTGTCTCCGGCAGCTACCACGGTGCCTGTCACATAGGTCATGGACAGTCAGTATTTGCGGCATGAATGAATTCTGTACTATTGGCTGAGGCCAATCCCTGAACAATATTCTCCAAATAATAGCTTAAATATGTTGGATTCGATAAAAAATACTAAGAAAAAAATTTCCTTGGTATACATTTTTCACTAATTCTCTTACAAGAAGTAGCAGAATGAAATTAAATTCTCACAAAGAAGTGTTACAAGAAAAAGCAGAAAGAAATCAAATTCAATGTTTCCTTAGTCAGTCTTTTTTATTGGATTCCTAGAGTATTTTTTCCTTCAAAAGTTTAGTTAGATCATTTTAAACAGCATGCCCATGCCCATTTCAAATAGCATAAATGATATAAGCTATCCAGACAGACATGTAGTTCTCCAATTCCTGACTGTGTTAAGCAAATAGATAATTTCTGTTTTGGGAAAGCAGTGTTATTTGAAAGACAATGAAGTGACATGTCTTCTTTGCAACACAAATTACATTTTGGCCAATTTCTGTTTCAGCACAAACAGAAGAATTTCAGTGACACTTTTAATAGAAATATTGAGCACTACATCTGACACTAATGATGAACTAAATGTTAGCTAATTGAATTTAAGTTAAAAAAAATGGAAATATTGTGGCTCTGCAAGAGTGGTCAGAGTTGAGGTCAGAGTAGGAAAAAAAAAAAACAAGGATTTTCTATTTATTCTCTGAGACTTTCAGAATCCCCTGTGTGCCCCTGTTAAAGAACAATCTAGTTAGATTGGGTAGCTGCCCTAGAGGACCACTAGGTTTTTCTCTTCCTGCTATTATGCTACTTAGATTATTGTTTGGAGGCCTGCTTTAACTTAGTACTTGGGGTTGCATTATTTGTTGGCTTAACTTGAAGAGCAGATACAACTGTAGGAATCTGGATATCATATGTTTGTCCAATGTCAAGTAGCAGAAAGAGGGAACTGAAGGGGCACCTGGCTGGCTCAGTCTGTAGAGCATGTGACTCCTGATCTCAGGGCTGTAAATTTGAGCCTTACGTTGGGTGTAGAGATTATTTAAAAATAAAAGCTTTAAAAAGAAGGAACGGAAAAAATGAGGCGCTTGCAGGGTAACATGGGATAGAGCCGGGAATGGGAAGCATGGTACGGTTCCCTATTGCCCTTTCTAAGCCACTCCTCCAGTGGGCCCTATTTCCCTGACAAACACCCTGTGATTCACTGTATCATTCTCAGAAAACTCTGTTTTACTGTCACACCTAATATTTTGCAACTAACTCTGGCCCCACAGTGGATTGTTCCTTTCATGCCAATTTTCTCTCCTATGTGTCTCTTTTATTTTACCCCTTCCCTCCAGTCTTTGTGCCATTGTTCAGATTCTCATCCCGGTTCTTGGCTAGCAAATCAGTTTGAACTATATGAAATGGACATTTTTGTCAGATCAAAAATGGTTCAATATTGGAAATTATTTATGATATAACCTAGGAACAATTTTTAACTAATTAATGTTCTGACCCAAGTCTTTCTCCTCTTGAACACATCCTTCATATTCTTTTTTTTTTTTTAATTGAGAGAGAGAGAGAGACTGCTCAAGCAGGGGAAGGGACAGAGGCAGAGGGAGAGAGAGAATCTCAAGCAGACTCCACGCTGAGTGGGAGCCCGACTCAAGGCTCAATCCCACAACCCTGAGATCATGACCTGAACCAAAGTCAAGAGTCCCACACTTAACCAACTGAGCCACCCAAGCAGCCCTCATATTATTTCTAAGGCAAACCTTGGCAATCCTAAATATCTTTGAATGTTCCCCAATACTACAAGACAAAGTTCTGGAGTGCCGAAGACCCACTGCTGAGTGGCTTCAACCTGTATCTCCAGATTAATCTCTAATCTCCTGCCTCTCCCCTTTATGGGAGACTTGCTTTAGTCCCTAAACTATGCACTCTGAGACTTGCCAATGCTTTTTCACACCTGATTACTGCGGACTTTGGTCTTGCCTTTCTAAAGTTCTCTCTCTAGTTCTGTCCAAAATTCATTCTACTTATCCTCCAAGCCCCAGCCTTTCATTTTCTTGGAAAAGTGTTATTTCTTTTATTGTATTCCTATAGCATTGTACACATTAGTCAAATTATACTTAGTCTGTCAGTTTCTCAAACTCTAATTCACAGTAGGAGCCAAGTAAATGTTTCGAATAAATCGATTTCTAAGTAACTGACTGGCTCTCCTCAATAGTCAACGGTATAAGACAAGGACTGATCGAATTTTTCAGCACCCACAAGAACCTACTATATGTATGTCACTTTTTCAGGTGTGATAATATGTTCATATATTAAAAGTTTCCCTTGGCTTAGAAATGGGTAATTTCTATATCCCCCACATTTCCCTTAAGAGTATCTATTGTTATATTTTAATTAACTATATAAATTGCTCTTCTTCCCAGGACTGGGAAGAAGACACTTAGGCACTCAGTGCACATTTTTGAATGAATGACTGACTGAATGAATGAGTGAATGAAATGAGGACTGTCTTAGGCTGAATACTCCCAGAAGCAGAACCTAGGACAAGGATGTGTATGCAAATGACTTATTAAGAATGTGCTCCAAGAAAAAAAAGAAGACGAGTGAGGAAGTGGGAAAGTAGGACACAGAGGGAGAAGCCAAAAAGGAGTGAAATTTTAAGTGATTCCAGCCTCAGTCTGAACCTTTGGGAAACTCCGGAGTATAAATTACATGCAAAGTTTGTTTCACTTATAAACAAGGGGTGTAGGCTTCCCTACTCCCACATCCATCAGTCATTGTTGCTTTGGGGGCAACAGAACTCTTAGGCCCTTCTGGCTCTGCCCTTGTGTGAGCCTCTGAAGGTCACAGTGTGAGCAGTTAGCAAAACAAGCAGAAGCTGGGAATGGGTATATAGAATGCTGTATGGTATCTGAGAGGTTCTGGGTAGGACTCCAGTTTTGTAGGATACACTACCAGCCACATATTCAGCAAGTTAAGTTTAGCTGGTGGTAGTGGAGGAGGCTGCTGCGTGCCTAGATTGGAGAACTCTGGAAAGGTTGTCCTATTGCAAATAATCTTCTCCACTCCTGCCACTGATGCCTAGGATCCCTTTAGCTAGGGACAAAACTTTTTAATCTATACCGAGAAGCGATATTTTAAAAAAGAATTCCCTTGGGTGGCAGAGAGAAAAGGTTAAAACCCTATGTAGAACCCAATATACCTCAGGCAATGCCAAACTTTTTTTTTAATGCTTTACCCCTTTAATACACTGGCTTTCATCCACACTCAAGTATGGGTCTTCCTGATTGTGTAGGATGTACAGGCCCTGATGTGCCTCTCTTAACTATTTTACCCCTTGTCACCATGAAGATGGTGTCCTTTACGCTTCCCAAGATTTTCCTGCGCAAAATAAGTCCTCTTCCTCCTGTTTCAGCTAAGCTCATAGCTCTGTGTGTTCTTCCCAAATTACCAAATATGTATGATACCCAATGTGCCAACAATGCTTGTCTCTCTCTGGATAGGAGAGCCCAAAGATTTCAGTTAGAGCAACTTTATTTTCTAAGCCATATTACAGGATATTTTTAAAGATTCCAGTTCAGATAGAAAAGACTCCGTGTGTGTGTGTGTGTGTGTGTGTGTGTGTGTGTGTGTGTGATCGATCTTCAATTTGAATTTGCCTCTTGGGCCACATTATGTTCCTGTGGAAATTGTGATAAAAACATTGATGTGGAAGTAGCCACCCCACAGACACCTGAACACAGCTAGTTGTTTTGTCTCCTGCCATGGCCTCCTGGTGGCCCCTGGGCCTTCTGTGGTTTGGCCGCAGATGCCTGACGCCTGTGTTCCTGGAGCCGCCCTGCCTCCGTTGAACACTGCGTTGGTCTGTCTGTGAGACTCCTTCCAGAATAACCCAGCTGTCCACCAGGGCTATAGTTCCTCTTTAGCATGTCATTAGAATGTCCTCGGATGAGACTCTCACCCCACAGTAGCTCACTAACTTCTCCCCATCCACTGCCTGTTCCTGAACAGCATGGAAGTCTGCACTGTTTTCAGTGCAGGATTTCAATGCGAGATCCATAACATACTGTAAAGGTTGGCTGGCTGGCTTTTTGAGGAACCCAGATAACTATTTGGTAAGTACTTACCTCCTGTCACGTCTAACTACCTG